TCTTTTGGAATACAGAGCCGCATTAGATGTCTGGTTTAAACCAGCATGCTTGCTTAGGCACCTATTTTAAAGCAACAGTGACATAGAGCTTGTGAATTTAATGATATTCCTAATATTTTGCAATACTGTAATTACAGTAATCAATTAGTTTAGAAGGATTAATTGAAAAAGCAAAATTGAATATTTGATGTATAGCAACAGGAAAACAAATCATACCTTTGTAACATGGAATGAATATCATGCCCATAGGAGATATCCTGGAAGAATTGAAACGTGAAATCAGCAGCTACTTATAGCATATAATCATGATGACAATGATGATAAGAGTGAATTATGAATCTTTGACATGCCAATTGTGTATTCATAGCAAATTGTTGCTCTTCTAACTAACCCCTCAACCAGGCCTTTCCCTTAAAAGTGAAATTTTGCTCTCAGGAAAAGGATCCAAAGTCAGGATCTTTTCTTCCAGCATGGGAGGAAGGATAGGATGAAAAGTTTAGATGCCAGTTCTAGATCATGAGAATTCCAGTGCCTTTTCCAGGACGAAACACATCCCCCAGAGCCATCTGAAGATAGTATCATCTAACAGAATTCAGAAAGCCTGATTATTCTCCATGATTCAATATCTTGGAATACTAAGGTCAAGCATTTGCCCTTCTTTTATTCTCATAAAGTTTGCACTCTATATGACATAGCAACTGCATAGTTCTATATACTAAGACAATTCTTTTCCTCATACCCGCTTTTCCTTTTAATTTCATAAGTTACAAATCTGATGGGTCCAGGGACCTGATCTTCAGCCCTGTACAACATAGTGTGGTGCTTGCAAAAGAATTAGTTGCTAAATATCTTTCTTTAAACGTCTCTCGCTCCCTTACCTGGCCATAAACAATGAATCATGGTAAGCTCTGCTAATCATAAACTTTTGCGTCAAGTTCAGCTCTTTTGATGCAGCTTCCATTGCTTCAATTATTGATTTTTCAGAAAGCGCTGGTGGGTCCTGATTTATGATCTTGAATTCCGATAGGTTGACCTTACGCTTTGTTGCTATTGCAATTGCAGATTGATGGATTTTCTCAATAACAACATTTCTTCTCTTTTCATCAATATCTCGTGTGTCTGCCAAAAAGGCAACACAAGTAATAACAAAAGAAAACATATCAGATCATCAGATGGTAGTCCAGATATAGCCCAGATTATCCAAGGGCAAGGTTAGCCTCATATATGTGAAGTGATAAATAAACGTTTCAAAAAATAATGGTTCTATCTTTTTGGGAGTAGGTTTTCTTGAAATAGATAAGGGACAGACAGTGTATTGCACAAATAACCTGTGAGACTAAACATTCTCAGAGTAAACTTATGTTCTCCTGGAAGAATATTCATTAACATGATACATACCAATTTCGAGGTGTGATTTACTAGGGATGCTGTTGATCGCTCCAGGATGCAGCTCTAGAATCCCTGGGAAAACAGAAATTCTAAATTTATAGAAGGTCCACAAAAGATTATTTATCTAAAATAGAGGAAGCTTTATTTAGTACAAACAAGAACTTTACATAAGATTAAATGAGGAAAAGAAAAATATTTGCTCTGGACTTACCTACAGTACCAACAGTATCAATTGATCCAGATTCCAGTACATGTTTCTCAACAGATAGCGCTAACTCAGCAGCTGCCAGTCCTGCATCATTTCTGCACTTTATAATAAATTTACAGGTTATGGATCTTTTTGACTTAATCACATTCTAGCAAAAGTATAACAAGGATGATCTGATGCACAATCAAAAATCTAAGTCAACCAAATGACTCTAACACAAGCATATATTATATAGACAAAATATGCACAGCATCAACGAAACCTGAAAGCTGCACAAGGTGGCACTAGTGTTATTGCACTCTGAAGCATGCAGGAAAGAAGAATTTCAATATTGATAATATTCACCTGCTTGGCATCAAGACTGCACCTGCATGCCCACCATTGCCTTCAAAATCAACTTTTATACTTGCAGGGGCTGCAATGGCAGTTACTATACCAATAGATACACCTGAACTGACGAATAAGGCAGATTAGGGGAGCCTCAGATATTGGAAAGAAAGAGACAGCAGTGACAGTCAAAAGTGAGCAACCTTCCTCCTCCAGAATGGGCCCTTGCTCTATATGCAACTCAACGAAAGCAGAGTAACTGCCTTTCTTCAGAAACACACTGGATAAGTCATCTTGATCTTTTGCATATCCAGCAGATCTTGCGGCATCTAAGAAGGATATGTTTTGGCCATCAACTGTTGTCTTCAAAGCTCTAGCAAGTGCCTCACCACCTGCCAATAAGCGACTGCACATCAAAAAAACATGTCAGAGACCTCAAACTAGATTCCATGAATGACTCCCAGCTGTGAGACATAATATTTTGAAGACAAATATTCAGAACTTAAATCTGCAAAGATATGGTGCCAGAAGATTCAAACAGAAAATAAACCAAAAAAACTGTGCATGCATACTATTTGTTCATACTAACCTTCCCAAACAGCCGATCCCAAAGCGTGTTGGCTCTTCGGAAGTGAACAAAATTATCTCCAATGACCTTCTAGGTTTGAACCCAGACCTTTGGAGATCCGATTATCATGGGACAAAAATTTTAGCCACAATGTAATAAACTGGAAAAACAAAGATCTTAACATAAAGCTTATACATTTATCATAATGAAGATAATTTTTTAGGTAAAAACGTATAATATATTTTAAAAGTGACTTTTATTTTATTAAATTCATAACCATTTGCATTAGGGTGGAAGGATTTTAAAGGTTCACATACACAATGGTAAAAAAAAATCACAAACCTCTTTAGTGCATTAATGGCTTCTATTGCACCTAAAACACCAACAACACCATCATACTTCCCAGAGTATGGAATAGCATCAATATGAGAACCTGTTGCCACTGCAGCAAGCTCTGGTTCATAGCCATCCCTGCATGGAAAAAAGCATCTAAAGAATCAGAATGAAAGGAACGAAACATGTGGTCAAAGAAATGAAAGTATAGATATTAGTGTAAGTTTGAAGAAGAACTACAAATTAGAAATCAAGTGAGAGGGAGAGAAAGAACAGATATTAGATCGGTGGCATGGTTGACAGTGCAAGGGAACAAAAAGGGCAACTAAATCAATCATGGAGCTCTTTGTAAAATGGAATAACAGCCACCTATTCTTAAAACTTGTAATTATCAACCTAAAGATAGATGCATTTCATTATCAATGAGTTAGCAACAGTGGGTGGTACAAAATAATCAACATTAGTGTAACTGGCCTAACCAAGATAAAGCCCCATTTAACAATCAAGCCATAAGAGTTAAGTAAGAAGAGAGAATCAATTACACAAATGAATAGAGAACTTAGCAGAAAAATAATGAATTAAAATATTACATAAAAAAAATATCAAGTGGGAAATAATCAACATCACTTATTTGAGGTGGTATTGAATCCCCAGCAATAATAATGACAAGATAAATGTTAATTAGATGGGAAAAGTGGATAATCATAATGGAGCAAAAACCTACCACCGACCAAATATGTTACCAACAGCATCCTCTCTGACAGACAGTCCAGCTAGTCCCATCAAATTTTTTATGAACCTGTAGTTAAAATGTTGCAAACAATTTACATGAAGATACAGCTAAGGGTTAAAAATGGATAAAATTGAAAGCATATGCACATGAAAAAACATTGTGCTAAGTCCTGTGCTCCTTCATCGCAAACGAATATGCCTATTCATTTCCTGCTCTTTACAATTATTCCTAAAAATACTCAGCACCAACAGCAACCACATAAAAATAAAAAGATTCAGTCTTTTGACGAAAGCAAAATCAAGAAATGAAAATTTCGTTACATTACCTGCGAGCCAAAACATCTTTCTCGGTGTAGAGGATCCTAGTAACTGATGGGGCAGGTGTATCCGAGAAAGCTGATAGCTCATCAATCTAAACCATCCCATTTCACAACATTAAACCCCATAAAACAAAAAAAACCCATATTTAAAACCACTCCCTAGAGTCCTATAAAAGGAAAAGGAAAAGATTAGTTTTTACAAGTACCTGTTTCTGTAGAATTTGAACATCAACTGAAAGTGAGTTTGATACAACAGGGTGAGGTGGTTCAACAACTGGGTACCCAGAGAAATCTTGCATGGTTTTGATTGTTGGGTCTTCATTTTGTTGAGTTAAGATTGAAGGAATGGAACCAAGGAAGAAGAGAAAGAGAAGAGGTAGGGAGTGTGAGTAAGAGAATCTCAAACACATCTCTTTTTTCTCTTGTTTTTCCTGGTTTTTGGAGTTTTTTGGATGGTTACTACTGTGTTAGCGTATTATAATTGGGGGGTTCGATTGAAGACAGAGCTACTCTTTGGGGTAGGTGCAAACCCGACGTCGCTGCTGTTTGTTGTCTTGTGCAAAGAAACTCAATTATGGGTATTTAGCAAATTCTAAAATCAGTTTTAGAATGCTGCTACATTATTTTAGAATTTGATGCAAACTTTTTTTAGGTGAAAATCTTTTTAATTTTCAAGCAATTTTGTCATGTAATAACAGTTGCCGATGCCTAATTATCCTTTTATAGCTTTTCACTTTTTTATTTTACTTATAACTGAATAAATATTGTATTTTTCCCTCAAAATTGAATAAATTTTATACATTAAATAAGATTTATATATAAAAATAAAAAATGGATATTTTTGATCTGCAACTTTCTGAATAGAAGAGGTCGAAATTAAAATATTTTATCTATAGTATTTGATATGATTAATTAAAATTAAAATATTTTACAATCAGGTTGATCATGATGAGTACGTAAAATTTGAGTTATGATTTTAAAATAAATATTATTCGAATGCGATTTTATTTAATAATTTTTAATATACAATTATTAATTTATTTTATTAATCATTTAATTTTAAAATAAAATTTCTATTTATCCTATTATTTACATAATAAACAAAAGATTGCACAATGAGCTTTCTCCTTTTAAATATTTCCAAATAGCAGCACAAGAAGAAGAGAAGGGAAGGCGGGAAGACTCCATAAACTCTTCTCGAAGAAGCAAAAGAGAAAAATGGAAACAAGTTCAAGTCCAACGACGAGACACACTTTCCTGAAGATAGAGATCCCGAGCACCGAACCAATCTTCGTCAAAGGCACGTGGTTCGACACTCACTTCGACATCTCCATCACCGACGGCCTCCACGCTTGGGTCTGCAACGGTAGTCTCTAACAAATTAATCTTATTTTTGATGAAAGAATGAAATGTTTCTTTTTTTGTTATTATTTTAATGATTTTAGTTTTTGATACTTTTTTTTTTTTTGAAAAATTTGAAATTGTCGTGTGGCAGCAACGGAGGAGGAGGTTAAGGAAAGAGCGGCTCAGTGGGATCAGCCGGTCACTGAGTACATTGAATTAGCCGAACGTTATTTAGGGTTCCAACAGCCCGGTTCGGTCTACCGATTCGCTGATGCCGGCGACGACCAAAAAAGAGTTAGCTTTTCCTCTTCTTCAAATTTGCTTGATTGAGAAGTTGAACTTTGTTTTTCCGCTAGAAAATTTGAATATTTAGGGTTTCGACGAGAATAAAATTCAATTATGGATTAATTTCAAACTTGAAGTTGTGGTGATTCCATTTTCTTTTTGGTAGCTTTCATGGACGTTCGAAAAGGAAGGGACTAAGCTGGAATGGCGGTGGAAATTCCGGCCGTCGCCTGATAGCCGGAAGATTACCGGAGGAATTTTGGACTTTCTTATGGACGCAAACATTAGGCTAAGTGTAGGATTAATTTGCCATTGTCCTGTTATCTTGAACAATCTATTGTCCATGTTTCTTATTGCTCCCATTGGAAGTTAATTACTATGTTTCTTTGATATGTTTAATCTTATGTCAGAATGATACTAATAGGAAACAATTAATGTTTGAGAAACGTGTGTATGTGTGTGTGTGTGTTTGCAGGAAGAAGTTGTTAGAAAAACTCAATCCTTTGAGAAGCTGAAAGTGGAAGCTGAGAAATGTTTAGAACAAAGTGAGAGATCTACCAATGAGAAGATGGAGTTTGAATCAGAAATTTATGCAAAGGTGTGTCTTAAAATATTTGACATGTTCATCCTTCTTGCTATAATTTTTTTGGCATAAATTTCGAATTATTGTCCCATACTTATATTTGAGTTCAACATCAACTCTACTCCAACAGTTCAGGGAGCCAGCCACATTGCCAGGCATATCTGATAAATATGTTCTACTAGTCTCCCTTGGGCTGCCTGTTTCCCTCCCAATGCCGTCATGCTGTCAATTTCTATTAGGTTCGGAACATGTATGAGTACTGTTGGCTGATATGCCTGGCCATTTTATGCTTGACATCTTCTTGGTAGGCAGACCTTTTACCTGAGAAAAGGTTTAGCAACAAAGGCTTCTCTTTTGTTGCAATAAGAGGATCGAGGAAGATACCTCTGTCCAGCCAGTTAGTGAGAAAGAAACTGCTGAGTTCTCTGTCTCTACTTTTTGATGTTCATTTTGTGCCTAGACAGAGTAAGCAGAGGTGAATCCAGGAATTCATTCTTGGTGGAGTGGGGATAAAAGTAGGATGAAATGATGAACTTCTTTAATGAAAAAAATTATTAACAAGATTACTGAGCTTCAATAAAATAATAGTGTAATTATATAAAAAGTATAAATTTCATTTCGCAAATATTACAAAAATTTATGTATATATAAAGGATGGATATGATAAAGCTCTATTTGAATATAGACTACACTATTATCAGTTTTTCATTTTCCTTTCCTTCAAATGATAATGACTGAGTTGGTTTTACTCCTGTCTCTAGTTCCTTGGCGTCTTGAATTCAAAGAAGGCAAAACTCAGGGAGCTTCGAGATCAGCTTTCAAAACAGGAAACTACAGGAAAAGCTCTGATGGAAGAGGAAGACTCCACTGACAAAACTGAGAGTTACCGCACCGGAAGTGATGCTGAGGAAAGTGAAGAAGAACCTGAAAAGAATCTTACAAGCACTTCCAAGGATGTTTTGGCAGCAGCAGGTAGGGGTCGTGGTCGTAAGAGAGCCATGTGCAAGTAGCACCTAGTTGAATGTAGAATCTGGCATGCAATGCTATGCCTGCCTTGCTTCTCCTTTTATCTTTTTATTTATCCTTCTGTTGGAATATCTGTAAATTCTTTTAACAACTGTACCAAGATTCTAAGGAGCAATAGAGATACCCTTCATTCTGAGCAGAAGCTTGTAGGGTTTCTTGAGTTATAGCTAATCCTGTAAATACTTTAAAGAGCATGGTATATATTGCTGAATAACAAGGACTACTGCTTAAGAAAACAAATAGAACCCCCCAAAGAAAAAGAAATAAGAAGATGAAAGTGAAGCATCATATAAAATTTATAATTAGCACTTCACACTTCAGGAACTGAAATTATTTGATTTGTATTTATTAGCAAAATGAAAAAGTGGTTAATATACAGGAAAAAAAAATTGAAGTTGCTAAAAATAAGTTCAAACAAAAAATGAGTGCTGAAAGAAAAATCCCCTAATAAATAATGTACAGAGAGCATAGACTCAATGAACTTGGAAGAATCTCTTTTGCTTCACAGGGTATTAGTATTACATGCAACACCACCTTTTTCAGATAACATCTGAAACTGGAAGTGACTGAAGGGCTGCATGACATTCTGTATCTTTCATGGCAAGGCGTAGCAGCTTTGAAGTGACTGCTTCATCTGGTGAGAAATTCCTTCTACGCATTTCTTCCAAACGATTCATCGCTCTTTGTACCTCCTTTTCCCGTAGAAGTCCATGAATAATGATGTTAAATGATATGGAGTCTGGCAAACAACCTTTTTCTTCCATCTCCGTTAGCAATTTATCAGCCTCCAATGACATTCCTTTCCTGCAGAGGCCGCTGAACATTATGTTATATGTCACAACATCAGGAACCAAACCTTTCTCAGAGATTTCAACAAACATTTTCCTAGCTTCTTTCAATTTTCCAACTTTACACATTCCATCAATAACTATGCTGAAAAGCTCAACACCAGGTTTGTACTCAGTACTTTCAAGGGAATGAAACAGATCCATTGCCTCCTCAATATGGCCATTTTTGCATAGCCCGTCCAACATGACAGTATATGTAGATAATATTGGAAATTGACCATAAACATGCATCTCGTTGAACATCTTTTGTGCAGTGCTAATTTGCCTTGCCTGGCAAAGTGCTCCGATAAGCGTGTTGTAAGTCACTGTAGTGGGCTTAATTCCCTTGTCATGCATTTTTTGAAACAGTTGAAAAGCTTTATCAATCTTCCAACTCTTGCAATAGCCATTAATCATTATATTGTAGCTAAAAGCATCAAGCTCAAGACCTTGATCAGCTATGAACCCAAAAAGTTTTGTTGCCTCATCTAACTGACCTGTTGAACAGAATCCACTCATGAGTGAATTATAAGTTCGTATGTCTGGCTCTTTCCCCTGTTGAATCATCAGATCAAGTATCCCCTGAGCTTCTCCCATCTTCCCTTCTTTGCATAAACAATCTATCAAAATTGTGAAGGTTACTACATCCGGACAAATCCCCTTTCGAACCATCAAGTTGAAAATTTTTGTAGCTTCTTCCAACATTCCGGCTTGGCAAAAACCATGAATCAAAGAATTATACATGACCAAATCCGCAGTGAGTCTTCTACTAACCATTTCATCAAAAAAATTAACAGCTTCTTTCAACCTGCCTAAACGACACAACCCATTGATCAAAGAACCATAAACAACAACATCAGGAGCAATTCCTTTCGAAACCATTTCCAAAAACAAACCCACTGCCTCATCAACCATCCCATCTTTACAAAAAGCATCAATAATAATACTATATGTAACCAAAGTCCCCTCACAGTTATTCTCTTCCATCTTCCTATGCAATTTAAGAGCCAAAGTTGGCTCCCGAATCTTACTAAGTCCATTAATAAGAATCCCATACGTAACACCATCCCCTTGGAATCCACTTTCACTCATTTTATCAAAAACTTGAACTGCATCTAAAACCTTACCATTCGCGCACAGACCCTTCAACAAAATACTAACAGTAACTAAATCCGGCTCGAATCCCCTCTTTATAATCTCACCAAAAACACAAAACCCACAACTTATTTGCCTTAATTGACAGCATCTCATCAAAATGCTTAACGTATACAAATTTGGCTTAATTCCTTCATAATTCAACCTTCTATACATTGAAAACACATCTGAATTGCATTTAAACTTTGAAACCGAGCCCAATACAAAATTAAACGTTTCAATCAACGCTAAAGGTTGAGCTTTTATTAACTTGTCAAAGTAAGTGACAGCATCGTTGAGGCTGATTTTACCTGATTTACACTGATGCCTGACGAAATACTCGAACTCTTTGGGACTCGAGAGGTGGCCTTTTTCTGGGTTTTGAAATTTGGGTTTGCGTTTTGGTGAAGAACTTTGAAGAGGGTCTTTGGTGAATAGAGAGGAGAGAGAGCTAAGGGGTTTAGTGGTTCCTTGAACAGCATGGTTCGTGTAAGCTTTACTCTTGAGCAACATTGAGAGGAGGAGTCCTGACAACGAGTTAATTTGAAAATTGAAAGAACAGAACTTCCTTCAAGTATGTTTATTTGACAAGCTTTCTTCCAAGGGTGAAAGAATACGAGGTGTCTGAGGCTCGGAGCCTAGGGCAGGGCGGCAAACGAATTTATTTATGTGGTACTATTATATTTGATGTTGGATTATTCTTTTCTCATACGAGGGTAGCAATTTTATTGTGCGGAACTCACAGTCAATCGTCATCTCCTGGCAATACAAACATTGTTGAAAGCCTTAAACGAGCTTAAAATTAATTACCTTGGCAGTTATTTGCATCCATTCTTTATGCTTTAGAGGGGAGGGATAATGAAGAAGATTATGAAATGACAATGACTGAATGGAGTTTTTATAGGGCTATAGATGAAGCTGATTCTATATCCGCTTACATGGCTACTCGAACTAAGCAAAAGGTTCGAATTCACCAAAAAATGAATGTGAAGGATATGCAGCTGAAATTGAAGGGTCGGGAGTCTTCGGAGGGGAAAGGAAATGATAGCATCGTTGAGATTACATATCTTTGGGCGGAAACTCTCCCAACTTATAGGGGGAAAAAACTAAAGCATACAATTTGGCATTAGCATTACCTCCATGGGACCTGCTTAAGAAAGTCACAAAGTGTTAACCTCTAAGAAAGAAGCAAGAGAAAGTACAACGTCTGATAAAATACTTAAGACTTCCGTTGGATGAAACTGTAAAATTGGTTTAAGATAAATATCGTTCAACATTAGTACAAGTTATTTATCAAAAAGGGAAAAGAGTCTAGTGTGCATCATCTGTACAAAAATATATAGCTAATACATGGTCTTTAAATTGTTAAAAACCAAGAAAAAGAAATCCCCAGATCACACGACCAGTGATGGAAGAATTGAATTGTAGTTGTACTAAACACGTTATAGGGGCATCCAAGTTAATAACCTTTGAAGATCTTTTGCTTCACATTGTGCAGGTTTTACTTGGAAAATAATTCTTTTGGGGAGCATCTGGAAGTGACTCAAGGGCTGCAAGACACTGGGAATCCTCTACAGCAAGGTGTAGTAACATTGATGTCACTACTTCGTTTGGTGCAAAATTCCTCCTACGCATTTCTCCTAGAAGATTCATAGCTTTGTGCATGTTATTTTCTTGAAGAAAACCTTGAATGATGATGTTAAAGGAAACAGAGTTTGGTAAGCAACCCTTTTCTTCCATGTCAATGAGCAGCTTATCAGCCTCGAGTAACATCCCTTTCTTGCAAAAACCATTGATCATTATTTTATATGTTACAACATCAGGAACCACTCCTTTCTTTGGGATTTCGTTGAACATATTCATTGCTTCTTCCAATCTTCCTGTTCTGCACATTCCATCAATAAGTATACTGCAAAGCTCAATGCTAGATTTGTACTTGGTACTTCCAAGGGAATGAAAAAGAGCTAGTGCCTCATCAATATAACCATTTTTGCATAGTCCATCCAGCATTACAACATATGTAGAAAATATTGGAGATTGACCACAAGCATGCATCTCATGGTACATCTTTTGTTCTGTTCTCATTCTCCCTGCCCGGCAAAGTGCTCCAATAAGTGTGTTATAGGTTACCGCATTGGGCTTACAACCCTGAAAGTGCATTTCTTGAAAAAGCTGGAAAGCTTCATCAATCTTCTGACTCTTGCAATAGCCATTAATCATTATATTGTAGCTAAAAGCATTGGGCTCAACACCTTGATCTGCAAGCAACCCAAAAAGCTTGGCTGCCTCATCTAACTGGCCAACCATACATAATCCACCCATGAGTGAATTATAAGTAAAAAAGTTTGGCTCCTACCCTTGTTGCCTCATCAAGACAAATATTTTATGAGCTTCTCCCACTTTCCCCTCTTTGCACAGACAATCTATCAAAGTCGTGAAGGTTACTATATCTGGAAAAATTCCTTCTTCAACCATTCGATTGAAAATTCTCATGGCTTCTTTCCACATTCCCACTTGACAATAACCATGAATTAAAGAGTTGTACACGACCAAATCAGCAGCAATCCCTCGACCAACCATTTCATCAAAAAATTTTACAGCTTCCTTCAATCTACCTACACTACACAATCCACTAATCAAAGAACTATAAACAACAACATCAGGATGAATCCCTTTGGAAACCATTTCAAAGAACATATTCACTCCCTCATCAACCAACCTATCTTTGCAAAGAGAATCAATAATCATACTATATATAACCAAAGTCCCGCCACAATTCCTCTCTGCCATCTTCCTATACAATTTAAGAGCAAAATTCGTCTCATGAATCTTACAGAGGCCAGTAACAAGAATTCCATATGTAAAAACATCACCTTGAAACCCTCATTCATTCATTTTATCAAAAACTTGAACAGCTTCCAAAGCCTTCCCTTCCATACATAAACCCTTCAACAATCTATCAACAGTAACTAAATCAGGTTCAAAGCCCCTCCTTATTATATCACCCAAAACACAAAACCCAAAATTTATTTGCCTCAAATGACTACAAGAAGTCAACAAAATGTTCAAAGTACATAGATTTGGCTTAATTCCCTTATAATTCAACTCCCTATACATTGAAATCACATCTGAGTTACATCTAAGCTTTAAAACGGAACTCAATACATGATTAAAAGTATCAACAAATGGCAAAGGTTTAACCTTTATTAACTTTTCAAAGTAACTGAAAGCATCATAGAGGTTGATTTTGCCTGATTTACATTGATGCCTGATATAATACTCGAATTTGTTTGGACTCCAAAGAGTGGTCTTTTCTTCATTCGATGAAGAAATTTGAGGTGAGCTTTCGGAGAAAAGAGAGGAGAGAGAGAGTTGTGTTTTGGTAGTCGTTTTTTGAGCTGCATTGTTTGAAGAAGTTGCTCTCTTTAGCAACATGAAAGAATAGATATTCGTTGAAAAGGTAAAGATTTCATGTAAGTTTGTCTCACCATGAAAGAGAGAGGGAGGCAATAAGGTGATTCACTAATCAGACGCACTGCACAGTGGGATTTTATTCGAGGAAGGCGCTCTGTTCGAAGAGATGGACATTTGATATTATAACTACGCTGGCGGCGGGTTTCAACAGTAAAATCCTTGAGGGTAGAGGCCACAAACGGGTGGATTGCGACCGTTCGAGTTGGAATATCTTCAGTTTTTTTGTTGGATTAAAATAAAGTTGATAATTAAATTTTGAATTTTGTGAAAATTTTTAATTATAAATTTGATCATTTTAATTTTTAATGTTAAATGTAAAGATGTTAATGAATACTTCATAATTGGGTATTTTCTTTTACTCTTCTTGATTAATTAAGATTAGAAATTTAAATCCTCTACCTCATTCTTTGCTCCAATTCTCCTAATTTGTCATATGTCTGGTATTTATTATTGGTTAATACATGTTTAGTTATTGAACATGTATTAGTAATTACTAATAAAAAAACAGACGCATGGTAATTTATGAAGGTGGGGGAAAGGAATGGGATAAGAAATGTGCATAAAGGATTTGGATTCATATTATGCTTATAATCAGATTTGGCTAGATTTTGAGTAGTAATCTACTACTCATCACGAGTTTTGGTAAGATCAGGTGATAGTCTTAAAGTACTTAATTATTTTAAAATTTAATTTTAAATGTATATTATTTTTTATAATATAAAAATTCAAAATAAAATAAAATTAAAATTTAAGATGGGAGAAGGCGCTTAAGATTATTATATAAATTAAAATACTAATTAAATAAATTTTTAAATTCTAATCAACTTAAAACTCAATACATACATTTTCTAATTACGCGGGAGTTATTACGAGTTTGATTCAAGTTATAATCTTAATCAAATAAGATTTTGTATTATAATCAACACCAAAATCAATATATAAGGGTAAGTTATTACAAATTTGATTTGAGTTGTTCAAAATATTTTAAATTTAATTTTTTTATTTATTTTTTGTCCACTCAAATATAATCAAATTTAGATTTGAATTCTTTCCGAGGAATTATGGATAACCAAATAGATCAGATGGAGATTAATGTTGAAAGTCTTAACAAATGGCTCTACAAAGATTAAGTGTCATTGAAATTGCATATTGCTTTAATGCTTTTGATGGTTTCTTGATAGGACATTTGCTAAATTATTCAATATTTTATAAAAACCTAAGGTATGTCTTGATAGCATGTACGTATGTCTATTTGGACACATTTCAAGCTGGTTTAGTATTTTCTGGCTTGATACAGGTTTATATATCAAACCAGTCTTCTGGTTTATGTTGAACTGAACTGGGCTTAACCATTTGTAGGCCTGTTAATGCCAGAGAAAAAGCTCAACAATAATCTTTATAATTCAGTTTGAATTATGCCAACTCATAATCATGCACATTTTTGGAAAATTTTGGGACTTTTTTGGTGTGATTCTTGTGGTTTTCTCTATCTTACAGAATGCATAATTTCATTTTTTGATTAAACCCAACTTGCCAATGTTGTCCTAAGAAACTTTTCCCTTGTCAGTTGTGCGACAGCCAACAAGATTTCATGGCTACTAATCCCCAGTTTCTTCTATACTTCAATTCCCGTGGTTGTGTTCTTATTTTACAGAAGAAATCCAACTACTACTTTTTGTTTCTGTTAGCTAATAAAACCAGAAGCTAAAAACAGATAAAAAGAAATGAAGTACAAAGAATATCGAAAAAGGCGTAACTCGAAGCTGGAAAACAAAGAGAACACGTGCGACGAACGTGACAGACCGAAGCCAACGTGTTCCACCACTCTTGCAAGAATCAAGATCTAGAAACATCCAAAGGTTGAGAAAGAAATTGATGAACCAGTACATCTGTTTGGACAGAGTAACACGGTGGATTAAACAAAATCTGTTAATAATCCAAATCCAAACAGAACAGAGGAAACGCTAATCGACCGTGATTACTCTGTCCAAACAAAAGAACTGGATCAGAACAGAAACCCTGGATAGCCCCCGCAGTCAGCGAACAAACGGACTGGTGCTTGAAGGGTTTTTAGGGTTTTAGGGAGGAAGGGTAGGTGAGATCTAGGGTTTACGGGTGGTCGGTTGGGGACGGTTTTGTATTTATAGAGGGATGATGTGTGGCGAATCTGCGTTACCGTTATACCGGAAACAAAGAGAGAACATTTTGCTTCGACGGACAGGCATGTTTGGCCCTTTTAAAGGCAAGGGTGACCGTTGGATTAACATCAACATTCTTCCCCAACACCGTGAAACGTGACGTGTTTGACTGAGATCCATCGACTCAACACTTTTCACTGGAAAATAAAATAAAATAAAATTATTTCGTGGTCTGTCGGCGGAGAGATCTAAGTATTCAACTCCTACTAGATTCATCAGTTACTTGTTCTAAAGTAACTAATTACCCAAAAAAATTGAACTATGTTTATGTTGCGACTAAGTTCTAATCCCCCGAACTAAATTGGCTAAAAGAATTATAACAGAATTTCGATAAAATTTAATCACAGTAAAATGAACAGAACTGGCCCATTTTGATACAACGCCTTCTTATTTTTATTTTATTTCACCGAACCCTTTTTTTAAGATAACTATGGCCAATGCGTTGCACTCGAATCTCCATGATCCTCTCCTTTTACTTTAATATTTTTTTTCTATGACGATATGCCTCTGTCACGGGATCATTATTCTCTCTCTCATAATAAGGGTGTGCAACACACCTGCTTATAAGAACCCAGAACCTCCCGTTCCTGTCTGATGTGAGATAGAGGCACTTTCCTTGTGACACTCTCACCCACCCGAATCGGTAACGCCTCCGTTGCCATCGACCACCCTGCCTACCCCGTTGGACCCCACTGAACCAACCCCCCCGGACCGAGCGCTTGCGTGAGTCAGAACTAAGAACGATCTGCTCTGATACCACTTTGTCACGGAGTCATTACTTTCACCCCCATAAACCGACTTATAGGAGTGTACAACACACCCATTTATAAGGAGTCTAAGACCTTCCGTTTCTATCTGATGTGAGATAGAGACACTTGTGACACCTCCACGTGGTTAAACGAAGAAACCATTTTAGAGCTTTCTTTTGCTCATGTGATAGACTAGGTTATAGCCTGCGCGCAACGCACAGACCTCTCTTTCTCTTTAATACATTTTCTTTGTTTTTTTACAACCTCCACGTGGCTAAATAGGATTCTTTTTACATGAAGAAATTTACATCAACAGAGCACATTCTGGCTTCGAATACGCATTTGCGGGCACACCCCTGGATTTTTAATCGCGTCAAATGCCGATCATATTCATGACCGCCATGAAACAATTGTAGGTAAGGATGCCGATACAAAATATCCCATCGAAAGGTTTCGATTGCTACCTGGATGCAACTTTGGTGGATTGCTTCAATTCCTATTTAGTCAAGTTGTTTTGTCCAGTCGAAAGGTTCCCAGTCGCGAGCAAAACTTGCCACAGCCTGCTTTTGTTCCTCCACAGATTGATGCCTCCTGCGACGGTACATGTCCTCCTCTGGCAGTTGTAGCATGCCTCTAATAACATTGAGACCAAGGCTGCTCTTGAATTGGCTTTCATCATCAATTACGTGAACAAATCCCCTGTTTAGACCAAATTCCACGTGGAAGTATGGGAAGTTTTTGGGAATCGAACCACGCAATCCCTTCTCACTTGTGTCGATGAGCTTCTTTGCATTGTGCTGGCTCCACTCATCTTCAGCTTCATCAATCGCCTGAGACAAATTTCTTTTAGAATCATACACGGATGACAAAGGCACTCCAACCACATCATAACATGAAAATGCATAATCTATTGCTACTCAGCTGAGTAGATCTTAACGAGACACTTTTGAGAAAAATCAAGTTCCTATGTCAAGAACAACAGAAGCTGCTGTTGCTTTTATCTCCACCACCATTGTTGTCAATCGTAGTGAAATACATAGACACAGATGACAATAGATAAAATGAATAGAAGAAACCTAACCTTTTTAAAATACACAGGAGCCTGCTTTGCAATTTCCCGTGGCATAGGAATGCATTCAATCAAACAATGGCAACGTTGTTGAGCCAAGCCCATCACGGTTTCCAAGAACACCAACTCCTTATCTTGCTTGGCAAACATCATAATTAAGCATTTCTTAAAGTTACGAATTTCATCCCACACGTTATTGTCAACTGTTCTTGTGGCTGACTCATGCTGTGAAGGCCAAAGGATTGCATTTCAAATTAGGACACATCATGAGGAAAGCTCACGAAACAATGTAAGCATCATTTCATTTCTACATTCCCGATAAATGAAATCATGAAATCATGAAATCACTGTATCATGCTTTATAACACATCCCAAATATGTTCATTTTGCTCCTAGTTTCTTAAGGTATCTGAGCAACTCTGCTTCATATTTCAATGTTACCGATAAGTAATTTAGGTGCCATGAAATGCAAACGGAAAAACTATTGATAATATATAAATCCTTCAAAGCCATGACTTATACTTAAAAGACCACTCAACATGTTACTAGTCTAGTGTAGTTAGCATTAAAGCCCAAAAGCCAGAGATGAGGATACCATGGATAGAGACTACCTGCATTGGCAAGATGCAGCAGTGACCTGGCACAACAGGCTGACATTGTGGCAACATCAAGTAAGTAAAATTGGCTATAGCAACAACAAGATGTTTTGGTCTGTTTGGGTTCTCAAAGCAGAAAAGGCAGCGCTCTTGCTGAGTCAATATACGCCTTGACAAAATATTATTTCCAGAGACCTTCTGATCATTTCGCCCACCCTTCTTTCGAGACTTTCTGCTTGGACCATCTTCATAATCATATTCATCATCTGCCTGACCAGATACACTATATTGTTTGTTGTGCATTATTCTTCGAGCTAGATGCTTATCAGTATCATCATCATCCTTCCTTTTTCTCATTGAGACATCATTAACAACGTATCTAGATAAAATAGAAAAATTGTTTATCGTCAAAGCAAAATTTTTTGTAAGATCTAAAAAAGTGTTAAGAGATAGAGAAATGCAAGGCACAAAATGTTACAATATAGAATGCAACTCGATTTTTTATATTCTAAAAGGGAAATGAAAAGAGAATCTAAACACTTTGCAATTTGCTCAAATTTGATATCCCAACCAAATATATAATAGAAAGCTATGAACTTACTGCTTTAAGCTCCTTTAAAACAGCATTTCAGGAGAAGGAAAACCAAACATAGAAATGAAAAATTACCTGCTTCCTCTGTCGACATTCTGCTGCTTATTTGCATGATCTCCAGTGCTCTGCTTTGCTTTCATGCTCTCAACTTCCAGCTGATAGAAATGACACAAAATTGAAACAAATGAAATTAACTATAGAACCAAAAGCTGAAGCCCATAGTTAATATATAAGCAAGTAAAGAGATTCTCTTTGGAACATCAATTTATTTCATCTATATGGCATCTCTGCATAAAACTTAAATTTATAACCTTTTAGTCCTGTACTGGAAAATGGGATTCTAGTACCTAGACAATTGATCATAAAGTACAACTACTAGTTACCCTCAAGGACAGGAGAAACTTCAGTGCAAAAAAAATAACCAAAGTTTGATAGTGAAGTAAATGACTCTTATAACCTTGAATTTAATGATTTAGTTCAGTGTTCATCTTTCTATATAATATTTTAGGCATGTTTTGAGAAAGCCCTCTGCAAATCAAATTTTCATAGCGTCAAAGCAGAAAGTTTTCTTACCAGAAGTTTCTCAGCTTCTTCATGCTTTCCCTTCAGTCGAAGCTGCAAAGCCTTAGCTGCCAATTGGTTTGTGCTCAAAGTCTCCTTAAGCATTGTAGCAACTTCAATTGTTTTATTTGTCTCTGCGGCTACAACTTCTGAGTCCACATTTCCATCATGATTTGCACGTGGACCAGATGTACTAGTATCAGTGCCCTGCTTACGAAGAAATTCTTGCATAAAGTTTCCATCATTGGCAAACTTATTTGCAGCAGATATAATGCCAGCATCTTTAGCAGGAGTATTTTGGCTTTTTCGTTTTCCCCAGGATAATGAATCACGGACTTTTGGGGCCCTCATGTCAGAATGTCGAAGAGATACATCCCGCAAATAATCTCGAGCAGTGTTCTGACAACCAAAACCATAGGGACGATTAGAATATCTACCACTGCTTAACTGGAAGAATGAACTCACTCTGTACAATTTTACATTTTAATACTACCAGACTATGAAACCCAACTAGGTGTCATTGCAAGTACCTTTTTAGAATCTCTTCCGCTTTCATTGCCTGCAGCTTTTTCTTTCTCCTCATCTTGCCCTTGCTTTCTATTTCTTATGGCATGTAGGTGAGCACGAGGTGCAGCAGCTCTACGAGATGCTCCATATTCAGCCAGTATATCAAGAGAACCCCAGCGTTCTTGCACAACCTGTATAATTTCAACAAGTGAAGTATAATGGAGTATTGCTTATACGGTATGAAATGAAGATAGCACCCTTCCAGTACTCCAATTTTTCCTTGAATCATACACATTATAACATTGTAGAAACTTACCACCTCAAGCCTTCGTCCTTCTCGAGCAGCTTGCTCTTCTGCACGCTTCAAAGCTTTAAGTCTCCAACTGGCACCTCCATCCCCCACAAGTGAAGAAGATAAAAGTCGGTCTGCACCAGAACTTTTTTCATCTGCTTCCTCTGGATAACCAGTTCCATTATCTTTTAGATATGGGTTCAATTCTCTGGGATTCACCTTCTTTATCTAGTAGACAGAGCATGTCCTTTTGTCAGCTATTGATCATGCACCACTAACAAACAAAGACAGGCAACAACTAAAGCATATCTGTTCCACTCAACCATGAATCAGATATACAAGCAAACTCACTCCTAACACTCCTAAGTGAACACAAATTAAGCAATTCTCAGAAATAAGAAAGAGAAGGAAGATTATCAAGTCAATTGACAGAAGAGTTGAATTTGTTTCCAAACACAAAGAGCTCTGGAAATCTGACAAGATATTTTCTCCTTTAAAGTAAAAATTAAAATTTCCATCATTACGGATCTATGTTGCATTAAACCAGAATCAAAGAAAAATTAAAGTTATAATAACAGCTCAAGTGCTATACCTCTTCAGCAGGAGGCTCCTCAGGTTGCTCAACAGGTACTGAAGGTTTCTTATCAGGCTTAAATGCAGGCCTAAGCATCCACTCCAATCCCATTTCTTTCCTCTCAATCTCCTTGTCCTTCAAAGAGGGAGATTCTCTACCATCATCTGCAAACCAAAAGCAACAAAAAAACCATTTAATTAATCAGTATCCAAATAAAAAAAATCATCAATCACTCATGAAAAAGACTTACCGATTCCCTGACCCTTTTTCTTTCTATCCCTTGCATTTCCTCTTTGATCCTCCTCTTCAGATGAAGAATATGATGATGAATATTGTTTCTTTCTCCTCGACCCTTTCTTAGACCTACCATTGAATTCATCCCCAGAACTATCGTTTTTACCTCTCTTATCCTTTCTTCTATTCCAACTCCTTTTTTCATCCCTATCAGAACTCCTTTCGCTTCCACTACCGCTTGAATACTCCTCCGACGAATACCATTTATTATTTCTCCCAGACCCTTTCTTTATTCTCTCCAGATCATCATCCGAAGAACTACCACCGTATCTAGAACTCTTCTCTTTTCTCCTACGCTTTTCCTTTTTACTACTAGATTTCTTCTTCTTCACATCTGAGTACTCATTTTGTTCCTAGTACCAAATAAAAAAAAAAAATCAAACTTTATCCTAACCTAGTAACTTCACTAATAATGAATTAAAGCACAGTGAATATTAATGAATTTTACCTTATCAATCTGATCACGAGGTATAAACTTGACCCCAGACAGCATTTTCTACAGTGTCCTGCAAAATTAAAATTAATTTAAAAACGAATGAATTTTCATAGCATGAATATTATAGAAAAAATATAGCAGCCTAATTGTCAAAATAGAAAAAAAAAAAAAAGCACCGTTTCACAGAGGAGTTCGATTTTTGGATCTAGTTTTTGGGAAGTTTGAAAGTTTTGAATCGGTGAAGGGGAGCAAGAATTGATAAGGAAATCCAGTAAGGAAATCCAGGGGCCATCCGAGGCGGAACCCACGGCCAAGAGATGGTGCTTTGCTTTAAGAGTCCGGAGAGCCAAGAGACGGTGCGTTCCAATAAAGAGCCAAGAGAGGGGAGAGAAGAAAACACCAACGGCTAACGAGAGAGAGGAGGGGAGGAGAGTAAGTGAGCAAGGCTTTAATAGGGGAATTTATAGCTTGCAAAAACGGCGCCGTACAAGAGAAAGGAATACGCATAGTCATAAAAGTAAAACGACATAATTTTGAGATTGGCAAAGAGACATGGCATTTATATTGGAGGGTGGATTGCTGCGGGCTAGCCTTGACCAGGCCCATTTGTTCTAGGTATGGACTCACTTAACAGGTATGGGTTTGATGTTTTTGTTATTTTTCCTCGAGTTTATTTTTTTGTTTTTGGTATTAAAAATACAGAAAAATATAATAAAATAAAATAAATATTTGAGGTCATAGTTATTTCGGATGAAATTTATAAATTTATGATTTTATAAAATACAAAAAAATAAAAATAAATGAAAAAGAAAAAAATAGATTGAAACATATTAATAATAAATTTAGATTCTCATAAATTATTTTCACAAAAATATATGTTACAAAAATTAGTCAAAGATACAAAATAATAAATGATAATCATTTTTAAAATAGCATAAAATAAGTTTTAATGGCTTGATTTTTTTGTTTAAAAGTTATTATTAAACTCTTATAAATAATAATAATTTTTAAAATTAAGTTAAATTTTTTTTGATAAATTTAATTTTTTAATTTTTTTACTGATAAGTTATTTGGTAAAACAATTTAAATAAGCTCTAATTTTAATTAAAATTACTATAAAGGGTAATTTTTAAATGATAAAATTTTTCTAAATTTTATCAAAAGTTTTGGAAATTTTAGGAAAAATTTCAATATCATGGGATTTTTTATTTATTTAAAAATAAATAAAAATAAAATTGAAATAAACAATAAAATAAGCTTAATATAAATAAATATATAAGATAAATATATGAGTAAATAAAAATTCTATGATAACGGAATTTTAAGAATGTTATAAAAGATAATTTTTTTAAAAATTTTTAAGTGAGAAATATTTTTTAAATTTTATCAAAAGTGTTGAGGAAGTAAAGAGAAATTTTAAGCATAGGATTACAAGTTTATGATGTTTCTTCTGTAAATATTTTTTTTTATTACTAGCAGACTCTTTAAGTGTTCAATGACCTAGGATGTTATTTTAAACAAATTTAATAAAATTTCCCTTCAAATAAAAAAAATATCAATTTTTTTAAAATTATAATAAAATGAATGAATAATTAAGAGAAATAGACTTGAATATTGAAATAAAATTTATTTATTAAGATTAAAAATATAACACATAATTTATTAAGTATCATTTTAAAATAATAATAAAATAAAAGAATAGTTACCAGAAATAAACGTAACTGTTCTTCCAATCCTAATTTATTTAATAAATGCATACTTATTTTTTATTAAATCTAAGTTTATATTGTAGTTAATTACACTAAACAAAAAAAATGTTATAGCGACCTTGAAGACAGTATTCGTTAGGGTTTGCACACAGCGATTGAGGCAGTTGATTTAACTTTTTGGGTATGTTTCATTGAAGGAGAGTTATTCAGCGAATTTTGGATTTGGAGCATTTTAACAACGTGCTTATTTAGTGACAGAGGTGGCTGATCTTGCTGGTTATGACTTATGACGGCGGAGATTGTTGGCTGTCTTTCTTCTCGCGGCGGCTCGGCGGCTCTGAAATGGCTTTTCGTCACTTCATTTCCTTTTGTTCTTAATGATTAAAATTCATTTTCTTCATTTGGAAATTGGGCTGGATGCCTATGTTAAGGGAGGAGCAGTGACCATCGGATTAAGAGCCATCCGTATATTTATTCCTTTGCAGCCCAACGAAAAGAAGGCCCAAGTAAACATGGACTCGTTATCTTGCTTCTCTAATTTGAGATGCTTAAATTAAATAGTCCAAAATCTGGGTCGAAAACTTCAAGGCCCACAGAGATAATGAAAGGTTAATATTATTTTGGGGTTTATATTTATGATTTCGTGCGTTGGACATGAATTAAATATAAAATACTCGTACATAATCAACGTAGAAAATTTCAGATATTTTTCTGGAAATGCTATTTAACTTTTTTATGAACTGTTATATTTACACATTTTAAAACGACATTCTGTTGTATGAAATTTTAGTCATAACATTACTTATTTGCGCACGGCTCTTAGAAGAATACACATTAAAACGATTTGGGAAGATACCATTTTGCTAAGCCCAAGGCTGCAAACAGTGATTATTAACTTAAAAACTGAATATGTCTCATCGAAAAGTGTGAAAAAGATGTTGTGGTGCTTTAATGGGTCAAAATCGTGCGAAAGTTGTAGTTGTGTTACGATGGTCTGTCGAGAGCACAAAATCAGGCGCCGCCCAGGATAAGAAACCTAGAAAAGTTTTGACAGATTGTAACTTTGAGTGGGGTGGGATGGGATTCAGTTCAAAGCTTTGTCCCTCTAAATTTGAAAAGCATATATTCTTCCATTGGATAATGATCGCTCTCACTCTAATAAAGTAATGTCTGTTTCACACTGCACTCGAGTTCATGCAGGTGCTTCAGTGCCGACGTCCCCTGTATTTGGCATTATTGGTAAGAAGACCTTTCAAGGGAAAGGCGCAACTCGTCGGCATGGTGCTTTGTATACTAATCCATCCTTCCTGAGAACAATGCTGCGTTACTCAACTCAAGTGCAAATTAAGGATAGGCTATATCACTTCAATGAAACACTTCTCACTCCCAGTATTTAAACCACTTTCGACAGCACTAGAGTTGTCAAGTACCTTTAACTTAAGGTCTCAATATATTCTTTCTTGATGCTATAATTAATAACTTGCATTGCGATAACTTATCAAACGTACCAATTCTCATTTTGCCCATTGTCTCCATTTTGCATTCACAATCTTGTCTACAAACACCACACAACTATTGATTATTTGGAGTAAGAAAAAGTGGGCATCACAAAGCATGTGGCTACCATAATAGTAACTGATGGCAACCAGAGAACCTTATTGATACCTTATAATGTGCCTTACTTATCGTTAAAGCATGTGGATTCTCTTGTTTGGTACAGATAGCTTAAGTTTTCGTTAAAAATATGACCTACTCATGCATGTTTGATGATCAAATCTTTTCTTCTTTTTTTTTTTTGAAAGGTGGTTTTATTAGCACTAAGCCATCGTTTCATACAAAGTCTTTAACATATTGCTAAAGACTTTACCTGGCATGAAAAATCAAGCTTGTGCAAAGAGAAGAATATACACAAAAGCAATAGGAAACTGCTCACATAGTTCAGTAGAAATTTCCTTCTCAGCTAAGCAAACAAACCCAAAAGGACCTCTCTACCCTTTCCCTAAAGACCTGTATTGAAATAGCAACAGCAAGTCTTTCTCTAGCCCATGATCCCAAGTTCTTCTTGACTGCCTAAAACAAAAAAGAAAAAAAAGCCAAAGGAAAAAAAACACAAAATAAAAAACAAAAAATAGTCTGCTGTTCCTGCTACCATAAAAACCTAATCGAAATCCTGAACCAGCCAGAACAAACTTTCAATCCTTTCCAAATAGTTAGCAAGTGATATCATCAAATCTTAAGTCCAGGTAATTACGTTATAGTGCATGGCATATTGGCATAGTAGTGATAATACATAAACAAACATTAAACTCCTGGCTATACCTAGTCTCTATTCTCTCATTGGCCTCATACCTTGCCTTGGAGATATATATATATATATATATATGACAGTTGTCTTCAACATCAAGCAATAATATGGAGATGACAATAACCCTAGTTTGAACAACCACGATGGTGACTTACTTTCCAATTGAAACATCAATCATTATAACAGCACCGCCTGTAGAAAAAAAAAATGCTGCCAGAATTAATAAAGCTTTTGGATTAATGTATTGGATCTATATATAGTAAAAGACAATCTGTCACGTAAGGAAGATCTTTCTTGGCCCAACTAGCTGCCTATATATATTGCAACCTTGGCTTGAGCAAGGCATGCTTCAATTTTGTTTACCCTTCATCCCATGTAATTCAGTTTGCTCTCTTTCTCAAAATGGGTGAAAGAGAACTTGTAAAGATTGCTCAAGTTATGATGATGCTCGTACTGATCATTTTGAGTGCAATTCTGGCTCCGACGACCACAGCAAGACATCTGAATATTGGACATGCAGTGGTAGGTGGTGCGGCGCTTCACCAGGCTCCCGTCCCGCCAATCGGGCCCTCTGGCTGCACCCATCTTCCAATTAGGAAAGGCATATGTCCTCCCCTTACTCCAGTTCATGGGTAAGCGCTATATATATATATAATACTGGCAATTATTGGAGGTGTAACATTCCAGTAAATTTTCGACTAAGATACAATAGCATGTTAGTAATAATTTTTTTTTAAAAAAAGTGAATTTTATTATTAACCTCTTCACTAGTATGTCATTTCGAGTCTGAGGCTCTGATGCCTCAGATCCTTGTGGCATAGCGAAAGTGAGGGTGAAGCTGCCTGTACAATTGCCAAAAGATCTCTGCTACGCTTAAAGAAATGGTAGCAACTGAAGACGGAAACCAAAAGGACCCAACCTAGAACAAAAGAGCGGGTTGCTCTAAGAAAACACAACCCTGGCCATTAAAACAAAAGAGCACCCAAGACTAGCCAAAGAAAAGAAATAAAACACCAGAGAACATAGGGTCTCCGTCGAAAAAATCCTACACCTTACCAAAGGGAGCAAAAGATCCAAGAATCGCAAAGATTCAGTCCAAACCGCAGAAACAAACCATCTCCTTTAACTAGGAGAGAATCCAGTCCAAGCACCAACCAAAAACTAGAGGAATCGCCCCCAGAACCAATCATCCTCAACAACACCTAAAAAACCTCCAAGAAAGATCACGTTCAGTGCATCTCCTCCAAATGCCCTCCACCTCGAAACTCCCCTCAACCTCCCATCAAAAAACCAGTCTTGAAGAAGCTTCCTCCCCTGGGGAATTAACTAACTTGATACACTTGAAAAGCAATTTGACAAATCTAGTTGTACTATATCAAGCATTCGCATTTTCCTTATGTTTT